CATCTTTGTATAGTAGTTTCCAAGAGTGTGTAAATTTTACCTTGGATACCATGTTAATCTCTCCCCCCCCCCCGGTATTTTTCTTACATGAATATTTTAAGCAGCTGTTAAAATTGGCAGGTAAATCCTGGTTTTTGTTTTTACAGGTCAAGAGTAGCATTTCTACTTGTTCTTTGTGTTTATTTTAAAAACTGGTTTGCTGTGCCTCCAGTCATTATATATTAGTTCCGTTGTTAAGGCAGGTGGCTAGTATTTTGCAATGGTATAACCTTGAAAGCACTTTTGTAGATTAAATCCTTCAGAGTATGGTTTAAAGCATCGCAAACAGCTAAGGTCCTTGAAATGTTGTACTTTCCATCTCTGATAATACTAATGTCAGCAATCACACACACACACACACACACACACACACGCCTTGCCAACGTTCAGACCAAATTTATAAATAACTGCACACCTGGATTGCCTATGGCAGTCGAATTGTTACTGGGAATCTAGGCAGGAAAGCTTCTAGGCCACAAATGGTTGACCTGGGAATGTGTGAACAAGCAAGCTACTGAGAGGTAATTTTGTTTAATTGAAATCTATTTTCACCCTCTTTTTTTTACCATATATGCTTGCTAGTCAATTGACCCTATCCTTTTCTGCAGTCAAAACCTTTCATGAAGCCAATAATGCTTTATGAAATTCTTGGTAGCAGCTTAACTTTGCCTATTTATTGATAGCATTGTTTACTGTAAAGGGCAGGAGCAAGAGCTTAAGGCTGGTTAAACCTGCAGTAAATACAGGAAAATGTAGCAGCATAACAAACCTTCTCTTTGTGGTCACCCCTTGTAACCGCAGGTTTCTCCTGACTAGACCACCTCAGTAGCAAAGGTCACTGTTGGACCAAGCAGTCCAAAAGGGGTGGGTAGGAGTGGGAGAATCCAAGGGAGAGGAATCATGAAATCACAACGCCTGCTGCACTCAACCATAGCTGTCAACTTTCCCCATTTCTTGTGAGGAATCCTATTCAGAATAAGGGAATTTCCCTTAAAAAAAGGAAAAAGTTGACAGCTATGCACTCAACGCAAAAGGTGGGTGGGTATCTTTAGTTTTTCTTTCTTCTGTCCACTGTGGTTTCCTTCATATTTTCCTTCCCATTGGTCCCAACAGTTGCTATAATTGGGTTATTTGCAAAGCTGAGCTATATTCGACAAGAAACAGGAGAAGGCTGCTGTGTGGAACAGCCAACAGTCCATGCTTGGAGATCTTTGGCTGTGACTCACCCCCCCCCCCCACTCTTCACCTTAGCCTGTCTGTATTCCTTTGTTCCTCTTGCTTCTTGGTCTGCCCACTGTTACCTTTCCCCAGCCTTCAGTTTTCTTTATTACCCATCCTGCTAAAAGCGCCTGATCCAGCAATGCTTCTTTTACCCCTGTAAGACTCCTGACATCTAATTTTACTTTAACCTTTGTGCAAAATTAGGGACAGCTAGAAACTGTCTGCATGTTTTCTGAAGTTAGGTGTTGAAGGAGAGGGTGCACTGCGAGCCTGAAAGCAGAAAGAATGGGGGAGGGAATATTTTGTGGGGCGGGTGGAGCTTCACAAGAGTGGCTGATTATACCGGGGAAAGAACCACTTGGGTAGCATAGAAGTGAATGACAGTAAGGTGCTGGGAGAAGGGGGTGGGTGGAACATATATTGGAGAATGATATGCTGGGATAGGTGAAGTGCTTATGGGAATGACCTGGGTAGAAATAAGTTTAAGGCACATCAGTAAATAAAAGCTGAACCTTCTATCAGCCACACCCTGTGTTGGCTAAGGGTGTTGAACACAAGGTAGTGAAACAGAAACGCAAAATGGTACTGAGGGATCTAAAAAGTTACATATAGTTAATCAAGAAAATGTTGGCTGTACAGAAGAATGTATTCTCCCCCATGTGCTCCAATGTAGAAGGGTTGAATGACTTCTGCATTTAATCTTCCAGGAGCAAGGTAAACATATTTTTCACAAGTCTAGTTAAATGAGTTTAGAATTGGGCTATGAGTAGTTCAGGTATAGGATTAAAGAACAATTGAAGTTAGGTCTGTGCACCTCAAGGATTTTTGGATATCCTGCAGCCTTTGTGCTGTGTGGTAAACCACTTTTGCAACTGAAAGGAGCCTCAAGGAATATGGTATATGGGGGTGATTCTGGTATTTCAAAGGAAAAAGAGGGGGAAATGTCTCTAGTGCATAGGTCAAGGGTTGTCAACCTGGTCCCTACTGCCCACTAGCGGGCGTTTCAGGATTCTAGGTGGGCTGTAGGGGGTTCTACGGCACAAGCTGAATCCTCCTTCCATCAAGCACTGGTGGGCGGTAAGGAAATTTTACCATGGTAGGTATAAAAAGGTTGACTACCCCTGGCATAGGTCTTCAGCTGTTGTGTCGGAGCCCAGTACTGGCGGGTTCAAGAAACCGCTGCAGCTGCAATGGACAGCATTGGAAGCATGGTCTGTGCTTCCTGAAATTGAAAAGCTGAGTAAGAGGAGCAAAAAGCATTGCACATTTTATGACTGAGAATTTTGTATTGCAGAAAGAGGTTTCTAAATTCATTGAGGATTTTTTCCTGGATATTAGTTGCTAACTAGGTTTTTACTACAGCTGGAGAACTGGAAGGAATATTCATTATAAAAGCTACAGATTCCCAAACAACTGTTTTGGTGCAAAATTGCAACCATCAACTTGAATACTTTGCAAGAGGGTATTTGTTTTTGCTTTTTATTTGGTGATAGATTTAGGAACTTAAAACACACACACAGAAAAACAAATAACTGCCACTGACAAGCTACAACTTAGTCAGGTCACAATGAAAGGCTTTTTGTTTTCATATTTGTTACCTGTCTGGTTGCATAAACAAGTAATTGTGTCTGCAAAACTCAAATCCTGCCTCTCCCATTAGGAGTATTCCTATTAGGCTATTGGAATCTAAGGACTCTTCAAATGAGACCTTAACGGCATAGTGGATTGTTATTTAAAAAAAACACCAAAAAAGCCCTGCATCAAGAGCAGTTAGAAAATTAAGTTACTTTGTTTAGCAACAACTTTTTTCACTTTTTGCACTCCACTAATTTTACTCAAGAGTTGAAGAAATGAAATAGCTCTAAGGCAGCAACAGTTTTTTTTCCTTGGCCTTTATTCAAGATAGCAGCTGCAGTCTTGTTTTGTGAGAAGCTGAGGGATATCCATAAAGAAGTCACAGTCCAGAATATGTCAAAACAAAGAAAATTCCTTCCAGTAGCACCTTAAAGACCAACTAAGTCTTGGTGAGGTTGATGGACTTCCATTTCATGCGGCTCAATGTGGTGCCGTCCATAGTTCCAGTTACAGATAGGTAGCCGTGTTGGTCTGCCATAGTCAAAACAAAGAAAATTCCTTCCAGTAGCACTTAGTTGGTCTTTAAGGTGCTACTGGAAGGAATTTTCTTTGTTTTGACTATGGCAGACCAACACGGCTACCTATCTGTATCCAGAATATGTGATTAAGACATCCATCTACCCTTATGATTAAGAAATGAACAGAAGGTAGCCCAAGGATGAAAGAAACAAAGCATGTTATAGTCTTAGTTCTTGCCAATCTTACATATATTCATTCCTTTTTAGAGTATTTCCATTACTGCAGTGGGAGTACATGTAAATGTAAATATCATGATTGGTATGAAACTAATGTCATTGGTAATTGGCTGCCATACAAAACATACCATCAGCATAGCTGGGCTTAAATTGATGTTAAGCCTATTACACAGTCCTGTGAATCATTGCTATATAGTTGAAAAAACCTATTTTCATGTAAAATGCTGTTTCCAAAGGTAAATGTTTTCTGACAGTTTGAAAGCCCCAAAGTATAAATGGAAAAGGTAATTTTCCTTGTCTTTTACTGACATTTAAATATATATTAAAAAATAATACTTGCTAGCTTTATTTGTGGATGGAGATATAATGCTGGCTTCTACAAACCACAGTTTGCACATGGACATCCAGTTTCAGTAATGTGCTCTCACTTCTCTGTTCTCTGGAACAATTTCCCCTCACCTTTCATTTCCTTGTGTCAACCATGTTTAGCATGATATGGACGAACACTACCCCTAGTGCTTTACTAGCACAAAATATAACCATGGTTTGAGGTGGCTTATGAGGGAACCTGATTTATGTTGATGGTAGTTTGTGTTGGTGTAATTGTTATGTAGCATCATGGTTAACTGGAAAGAAGGAGGGAACAACATTTCTCCATAGAAAGGTGGGTGTGGCATGTGTTCATAAGATATGTTCCATATTTGCACCTAATGATTTGCAAGAATCTAGTGTTGTATCTGTACCGGGTTTAGATCTTCATTCTAACAGTTTATGTGAGTTGTTAGATGTGTTCCAGCCGCCCTCTTTTTCAACATTAAATGAAGTATATATCCAGCAGTACCAGGGGCAGTACAGGCAACTCCCCATTCACATGCATTCAAGGCATGTGTGATGGCGCGCATGTGCATCACCATGAACCTGGAAGTGGCACAAAAGGGGGCAAAAATGGCCCTAAAAGAGCTTATTTTTCTTGTTTGTTTATTATAGTGAAACTGTTGAATATCAATATACCTCATATATCCTATGATATATATTTCTATATAGTTCATAATTGGTATCTGTCAGCTAAATGTTGTCTGTGCCATGGTTTAGGGCTACCATAACTGAAACAATCTCATCCACTGATGCAAAAGAAAACATGATGATTCTGCAATAACATTTACTAAGGAGAACTTTGGTATCCATGCATGAACTTAGCTGAATCCTTGGGATTCACTGAGGATACAAGAATATATCTTCTCTGAGAAATGGATAATATTGCAACACAGAGGGCTTTTGGAAATACCCTCTATAATTTCAAACTGCTTTATGCATTATATTTTTCAAAGTATACAGTATAAACATGACAAAGGTTTGGGATGCATAAACACATCAATCATTTTGCTATGCTTTTCTCCCTTTATTTCATAGTGTTTGAAGAAAATAACAAAAGATGGACGACCACAAATAGTAAGTAGATTTCTCTGTGTTTGTATCTGTATCTGTAGCAGTGACTAAGTTAAGGCACGGCCTTTCTTAAAACTGACAAAAAAAATTCAAGCTATAATGCATTAGCTTCAGAATAGTTCATCCATACCCCTAAGTATGAAGAAGCTGGGAAAACTGGGGTGGTTGTAGTAGGAGCTGAGGTTGGGGAAATGCAAGTCAGTGTAGAACTGTACAAGGAATGTAAATACAGACAGAGATATTGCATCAAATGCTGCTCATATGATATCTTACATGATTTCAAATTGTCTCTTAAATCTCTTGTAAATAAACTAGCATCTTGCCTCCTAGCAGTTATTCAAGGGAATTTTATGATCGGTATGCCCAAGGCCAAGAGAAGTCTGTGGTCAATAAAATGCAGCAGAAATACTGGAAGACAAAACAAACTCTTATCAAAGTCACAGGAAAGAAGGAGGATGAACATGTGGTGGCCTCAGATGCAGATCTGGATGCAAAACTGGAGGTAGGCATGGCAGCCCAGATATTTCCTCACAAAGGGGGGAAATCCTATGTTAGGAGGTCGCAAAAATTGGGCCGGGTTCCAAAAAGCCATTCATGTCCTGTGGCTTTTCAGCCCTAGCTTCCCTGTTGCAGCTCCCCTTGCCACTCCTCCCCGCAAATGCACCCTAAAGTTAGAGGGACCCTTGGATATGGCATTTCATGAGGCATGAGAACAGTGGTGCACCTAAGTAAAATTTGACCCTGGACTTAATGGAGTCTGGGAGGTGCTTAAGGTGGCCTGTTGTGAAACACACGGTTAACATTTATCTCCTCCCTGCACCATTCTGTACTTTCCAACTGCTTTTTCTTTCCTGATAAGTTAGAGCAGACCTCCCCGCACCAAAAAAGAAAGAAAGAAAAGAAACCCAACACATTTACCAGCCTCGATAAATGAAAGAAATATACAGAGCACTTGCAATTTCTCATTTTAAGACTCGCTTAAAGCATAGCACCATCATGAATACAGGAATAAAATAGAGTATGCTTCTCCTTCCCTGATGATAAACAGATTTTGTTGTAGAAAAGGACAATATTCTTTTAATAGTAAAATGAGCATCTGTAATCCCTTATATGTCTGGCTGGCCTCCCACTGGCAATTTTTTTAAAAAAAACCAAAACAAGCAGAAAGAAAGGATACTGTGGCAACTAGTGTGAACTTCAGCCTAGATGCTGATGCTGGGCCTGATGTTGGCCTCTGCCTCCACCATTTCCTTTTCTTTGGGTGGTAATTTGAGGGCCCCCTGAGCTGCAAATCCCTGGACTTTGGCCTGGATATCCTAGCTGCACCACTGCAAGAGAAACTTCATTGGGAGAAATCAAGAAACAGCTACACGCACCTAATTGAAATCACTGTCTCCTGACTCGTGTACCTGATTTAGTTGTAAAGATAAAAAAAGTGTCCCCAGCCTCTTGGAAGAATGGGATACAAATGTAGCAAATAAGTCAGTGTTATGCCACAGAAGTATGTCATTTCCTTTCCTCCTTTTGGTGTGCAATTGCTGATGTTTTTTCCATTTTATTAGCAAGGTTGAGGGAATTTGATATGTTTAGCCTGGTAAAGAAGAGACCGAGAAGAGATAGATAGCTATATTCCAATATCTAAAGCAGGCTTCCTCAACCTCAGCCCTCCAGATGTTTTGAGACTACAATTCCCATCATCCCTGACCACTGGTCCTGCTAGCTAGGGATCATGGGAGTTGTAGGCCAAAAACATCTGGAGGGCTGAGGTTGAGGAAGCCTGATCTAAAGGGCTGTAAGATGGAGCAAGCATTTTTCTGCTGCTCCAGAGGCTAGGGTAATGGGTTCAAGTTACAAGAAACAACTAAATATCAGGAAGAACTTCCTGACAGTAAGAGCTGTTTGAAAGTGGAACAGACTCCCACGAGAGGTGGTGTACTCTCCTTCCATGCAGGTTTTTAAGCAGAGGTTGGATAGCCATCTGTCATGTATGATTGAGCCAATATTCATGTATTACAGGGGGTTGGACTAGATGACCCTTGGGGTCCCTTTCAACTCTACAGTTCTATGAGTCTGATTTTAAAGGATATTCGTTACCTAATGGTAGAATTAAAACAAGCATAGCAGTGTTATCATAGAATTAGCATAGATAACAGAGAACCTGTTAATCCCTCTCTGGTCTCTCTTTAAATAAGCAAATGTTGATGTCTGATTTGGACTCTCTTTTTTTTTTGTAACTATTTATTTCCTGAGAAATTCTAAAACTAAAATAATATAAACCTCATCTCTGGAAATATTGGATAGTTTGAGTGTTTACTTCTTGGAGTGGTTCTGGCTTGCAAATTACATTTTACATATTTTCTGCCTGTGACCTTAATTATACCTCTTAAAATCTGTGCCGTCACATTCCTTGCACAGAATGGCCTTCCTGCTATACTGTAAACATGGTTGCATTTCACTGGCAGAGAACATATCACAGAGCATAAATGCCCGTGAGACAAACTGATTTGCTCAGACCATCTCAAATGCTTTGTATTTATATAGGAATTGCATTAGAAAATTGCTGCATGTGTGATGTTGTACGTTGGAGGAAAACGCTATGAATTCATAGGCAAGGAAAGCTGATAAGGTTTCAGAAGCAACATACTGTTTTGAAGGGAAATATAGTTTTAAGGAAAGTGTTTTTTCTGTGTTTCCTGTCTCAACAATAGTTTGTATTTTATGTTTCATTTCAGCTCTTCCATTCAATTCAGAGGACGTGTATGGATTTACTTAAAGCAATTGAACTATATCAAAAAAGGATTTGTTGTAAGTATTTTAGCTGTAGTTAGCCTCGCCTTTTCAGCCTAACTTAATTAGTGGTAAAATGAAGATAATTGTGTGGTATTCTGCAGCATTAATCAGAGTTCAAGTTGATACTAAAATTATTTATCAGTCTAGGCTTTAAAGATAGCTTTGTACATTTGGCGGAAACAAATATTATGGCTAAGAAAAATATGATATTACATCGAACTTGATCCGATCCAGTCCAAGCGATTTTGCTGTCCAAGGCCAAAGACAAGATGCCTCTCCCCATTCCGTATGCAAATCATGCTTGCAGTTAAATCTTACTTCAACATTGATGACAAGACAGCATCCTCCACCACACCTAAAGGGTGTGGGCTAGCTTATTAGGTGCAGAGCAGACCACATGACACACACAGCTCTGTCTGCTGACAAAGGAAAATGGCCAGCAACTGTGTGTGCCTTAGGACAGATGACAAGGGTCCAGCACTGCTGCTCTTCACCCTAACTGCTGCCTAAGGCAGCTACCCCACTCTTTCTGATAGTAGGGACAGCCCCAAGTTTGATAAACTGGTCCAATCTTTTTGTTACACTGAAAACATGAGAAATGTCTCCCTAGCATGTGCTTACATATATAAAAAAGGAAATGCAATATCAGAGGCTGTGGTAGAGAGTGTGAGGGAGCTGCTTAACTTTTTCTCCTCCTGTTGTTTGTCCTGTCAAAGCGTGCGTCCCCCTCCAAGCTGCTTTTTATGGCAGAAAGGGGGGGCTGTATATTTTGTCCTGCAGAGAACAAAAGCAACTTGAATATAGAAATTTTGGGTATCTTCTGTCCCTCTGCTTGAAGCAGCACCCTCCTGTACCTGTTTTTCAGTGTTAGCTGTTCAAGCAAAACATTGGTTCCAGAGTATGGTCTGAAGGCATAGGAGGCCACTCACCTGCTGAAAATAAGCCAGCCTGGTTGTTGTTGTTGTTGTTGTTATCATCATGATCATCAGTGAGTGGATAGGTGACTACCTGGCAACCACTTGAATTTCTTGAGTAACTCATTGAGTTACATGATGGAAGAAAGGCAGGATATAAATGTAAGGAAACAGAAAAAAGTAAAAATCATCCATTGAGAGATTGCATAACTTGATACTTTTTAATTTGGTCCTCACATTTGCTATTGTGTATGGACCTGTAGGACATGCTTTGCCCTGCCTTAGTTTGCTTTTTTTTAAAAAAAGATCAATATTTTAAAACATTTTCTTAATTTAAATGCAAACTCTGTGAAACCAAATCTTCTAAATGAAAAATACAAATATACAGAGGGAATAGAACTGAAGAGTGCATGGTGCCCCTGTGAACTTCTGTCACTTGAGCATCAGGCTCAAGGAGTTGAAAGAGAGTGTAAAACAATCAAGGGAAATTCTAGGTATTGTAGTCAGGTCACAGCAGTCTACTTCATCTGATCCCACCAAGCTTATAGCTCTATTCAAGCAAAAAATAGCACGTTCTCCTGTTGCCTTTTCAGCGTAGAGGTCATTTTGCAGTTCTTGTTACATTACACTGAGCCCATGAAGGGATGTGCTGAAGTGAACCCGATTGTCTGTTTCGTAAGTGCGTGGGATTCATGAAGGTTAATTAGAAATTGCAGGGTTATGTTGGAGGGTTATTCTGTGACCTGAATAATGGGGGCAATGCAACATTTCCCTTCTTTAAACTTAGTGGTGCATCACCACTTTCTCTCTCTCTTTTTTTTAATCTCAGTTCTGTCTCAAGAAGAAAATGAATTGGGGAAATTTCTCCGATCCCAAGGCTCTCAGGATAAAACCAGAGCGGGCAAGATGATGCAAGCTACAGGAAAGGCCCTCTGCTTTTCCTCTCAACAAAGGTATGTTTGACTGGAGAGACTTCATGTATGAAATAGCTTACCCTCGTTGCCCTGCCTTCTGAAGCAGGCCTGCACAAGAAGCCCACGTGAGGTTTCAAGCTTTTTCTATCTCCAGCCTCCCAGCAGCCCCAATAAAAAGCAGGAAAGGACTGCTGGTAGCTTGAAGTCAAGAAAGCTCTCTGGCTATATTTTTTGTCGGTGGTTTTTTTTTTGCTGGAGGGAGGGGTGTCTTTCTTCCTCAATGTCACTTATATATTACATTTCTATCCTGTCCTTGTTCCAGTGAGTTCAAGGCAGCATCTACAATAGGCAGGAAATCAAAAGATTAATTCCTTCTCTGATTTGAAGAGCTAATGAAACGTGCATCCCCTTCTGCAGAGATGATCCCTCTCAGTTTCCAGCTCAGCCTTCTGACGCATCTTTACCTCTGGTTTGTTAAAGCCAGGAGTCTTTGCCAAATGTGTTGTCTCTAAGAGGGCTCCCTTTCTCAGAAAAAAGACTCCAGGCACTTCAGATAAACTCAAACACCAACAGCTATATTTAAGTACAGCAGGCAGGGACCCATACTCACTTCTTTCCCCCACTTGCCTCTACAGGACAGTCCCTCTTCAAGTATTTCCTCTTGACCCAGGAGCTAACCACATACACACTTTCCGCTTTTCATTTTAGCTCCAGTATGATCATATACCTACACTCCTTGGCATCAATTTCAAATGTGTATGTCCATCCTCTGGTTTAGTATGATGCAACACTTAACTAGAAAATGGGGTTTTCTTTTCATCAAAGAGTTCATCTGTATCCTTGTGATCAGGTTGGTATCTAGAGACAGGGTACACCAGGACATTATTGCACCTTCCAGTGCCAAAAGTATCACAGCTTCATTGTCAGGAGGATGGAACAGCTATCATTCCTTGGTTTGTGGTATTCAGCCTTGCTGGACACAAGCCAGGGGGAAGCCATCCTTGTCCAAGAAACCTATCAGCTGGAAACGCCTTAAGAGTTTGTCATATCTTCCTGATAGCATGCTTTGACAAGGCTTTGTTCTATACGATCTCACTAGCTACTGTTGTTCCCCCAGCTCCAGATTGCACACAAGATCATTGGCCAGGTAAGGATACCTTCAGAGGCAAGGAAATCCTGGACTGGTGTGGACCCACCAGAGCAATCTTGTGAGGCATGTGTCTCACAAGAGATGCAAGCCTGTTTGGATGGTGGATGGTGTCGCATTGCCAGAAGTTGATAGCCTAGGACAGAGTACAAAAAGTTCGCTCCAATACCAGTGCTATCTTGTATAATTTAGTATAAATGATATGTGAACCAGGAACATCAGAATGGAACGCCCAATCAAGGAAGAGTCCTTTGTGTCTCCTAATGCTTAGAGATACTGTATACCATTATGAGTAGTTTGAGATATTCAGGAATTTGATGGCCAGGTCACCCATGCATGCACCAAACCGGAATTCTTTGTTGATTAAACTAGCTTTGCTTCAGTTTAAATGGAGAGTGAACCTATGTGTGAGTAGGCTGTTGTATCTCCAGATAAGTGATAGCAGAAAAAGGTAGTGTGTGCTGTATTCCAAGAATTGTCAAGGTGTATGATTTGGAGGGAAGGCTTCTCTTGATCTCAGGATGGAATAGGAACCATATTCTAGAAACTGCAAGAGGGAACTTTCATCTTTCACCCAGACTGGCTCCATACTTTGAATGCTTAGCCTGTTATCCACATGGCCAATAACTTTTACCTTGCGTCTGCATATTAAATATTAGCTGTTTCACCACAGCACCAGCATACTGTGCAAATTAACTAGGGCTGCTCACTGATATAATAAATATTCTGTTTAGGCTGCAATACGACAATCATTTTCCTGGAAGTAAGGCCCATGGTACCCAGTGGGACATACTTCTGAGTAGATGGGCATAGGATTGCCTTGTTAATTAATTGGTTACATTTCAACAGGTTATAAAGCTGCTCTGCCATTTTAAGGATTCTGAAGGAAAGCTTCAGTCTTTGAGAGTGTGGGAATTAATGAACTGTTAGTGAGAACAGGCTTTCTTAAATATTTTTTTAATACACCAGAAGCAATCAGGAAAAAATAGATTTGCTAAATCAGTTCTTGCATCGAGAAATTGTGTGCTGTGTACTTGTGAAAAAATTGTCCTAAATGTTACCATCTGAACTGAACCTTGCGGGGGAGGGGGTCCATTCTAATTTGCCTGTTGGCATTCCTTCCGTTGGCATTTCCTTTCTAGCAACCCTTTGTCTCTCTGGTTTGCTAATCAAAACAAAGCCTAAAAAGTCTCTTTTGGTTTGGTTTCAGGAGTCCCTACACTTGCCATTTTTGTTTTTGCTTTTTTGGTCACAGGTTGGCATTGCGCACTCCTTTGTGCAGGCTATACCAAGAAGTGGAGACATTTAGGTACAGAGCTATTTCCGATACGTGGTTGACGGTCAATCGAATGGAGCAGTGCCGAACTGAATACCGAGGAGCTTTATTGTGGATGAAAGATGTGTCTCAAGAGCTGGATCCTGATCTTTACAAACAGATGGAGAAGTTTAGGAAGGTATGAAAATTCCCACCATTTGCTAGAGAGCAATGCTTGAGAAATGGTAATGGAGCATGGGTTTTATCCCAGTAAGAGAAATATAGTTCAACATCTAGCACTGAGGGTGAAATTAATAATAAATTGATCTTTCCCATGTGGCAGGATACAGTTCATCTGATAGTGAATATATTTTCCATCTTTGAAAGATGCAACTATCAGAAATGTTTTCCTAAGAGTGTAACCCTATACATATTTACATGGGTGTGAGTCCCATTGAATTTAATGGGACTTACTTAAGAGTAGATAAAGAATGCTCTATAAGTAACTGTATTACAGTTGATTATATGTAAACATACATAATATATTACACAAAATGGATCAGATATTACCATAGTAGGCATCTCTTTAGGGTTTTGAGGAAAGACAGATATAAATGTTTTAGGTAAACGTCTGGGCAATACTATACCTGAGAGGAATTCAATTGCACTTACTATCAGGTAAACATAATAGATTGCAATCTATAGAAGATGCATGCAGCCTGTGCTTTTCCATGAAGACTATTGATTGCTAGCTTTCTTTGTTGATTCTGCCTCTATACCCAGGTGGAATCTACACACATGTTAAAAACGTTTTGAAAATGCTTTTGTTAAAAATCATTTTGAAAAATGCATTGAATTTGCCATAGCTCACAGTCACCATCTAGTGTCACAATGGCATATTGCACTTTACAACACATTCAAAGTGTTTTATTTGCAGCTGTGTAGCTGAGTCCAATCAGAAGGTTGGCGGTTTAAATCCCCGCAACAGGGTGAGCTCCCGTTGCTCAGTCCCTGCTCCTGCCAACCTAGCAGTTCGAAAGCACGAAGCGCAAGTAGATAAATAGGTACCGCTTCAGCGGGAAGGTAAACGGCATTTCCATGCACTACTCTGGTTCGCCATGCTGGCCACATGACCCAGAAGCTGTAAAGCAAGATGAGTGCCGCAACCCCAGAGTCGTCCATGACTGGACCTAATGGTCAGGGCTCCCTTTACCTTAGCTGAGTCCCCAGTGGGTCCAGTCCTCCTGAGCTACAAGTTGCTTCTCAGCTCACAATCCAGTGAAGGCATCTGTAGCGCGCGCGCTCTCTCTCTATACACACACACACACACACACACATACATATATACATACACACACACATATAACTGGCTAAGTGGTCTCTGGAGATGGGCAGAGGACATTTTGTGTAGCCAGATTCTGCTGAAAATGTCTGGTTGAAAGATGTTTGGTTGATTGGGGCAGATCTGAGCCGCAGATCTACGGTATGTGCTACATGCCCTGCCATCATTTCGGAGACTCTTGGTTTGTCAAGAATTCAGGCCTGAATTCAGACCTTGTTGATATGGAGTTGTTCTAAGAGAGGGAGAAAAACGTTTCTCAATCAACTCTCTCCATGCCATGCATAATTTTATAAACTTGTATCATATTGCCTCTTACTCTCCTTTTCTTTAAACTCAAAAGTCTCAACCGCCGTGACCTTTCTTCATAGTGCTCTATCCCCTTGGTCATTTGGGTTGCCCTTTTCTGAACCTTTTCCCACTCTTACTGAACTTGCCTTTTAGAATTGTTTATAATACAAAACATCAAGCTAAACACCCTGTAACTTTGAAGAAGCTAACTTCCTCTTCTGGACACCAGGTTTTACATAGCACATCCTGTAACAGCAGTGGACATCTGCATTGCTTCACAGTTGAAAATTTGATAAGCAAATGTCTTATGTTTCCTTGATGAGAATTAACAGAGAACTACTTCCATGTTTTTCTGAAGGGGCAGTGGAGCTGCTTGTGTCTTTTAGTGTGCAACTCTGATTTGTGCCATTGGGTGGCAGTATTTTACTAGATCTTTCAAGTTATTTGAGGATTTGTATCATAACAAGGGGGACTGCACTCCTGTCTTTGTTCAGGAGGTTGTAGATGTGCTGGGAAAAGAAAAAGCTGTAAATTCTTTTCCTAATCATGATGAATGCAGTTGACAATGCAGGTGATGTGGCAATTTTTTATTATGATTGGGTGAATGGAAGTTGTGTGTTACTACATTATTAGAACATTTTTAATACTGGCATATTTGGGACAATTTCAGTTTTCAAGTGAAGTCATTTGTTGCAGTAGAGAACATGGTCAGAATAAAGTTACTTGGCATTTATTGTCTTTTCCCATGTGCAATACATACATAATTGCAAATATGAAAGTTTATACCCAGTAATGTCATTGAGCTTCAGCATACCTGACTTGGGGCTCGTCCACACTTTGCTTGTCCCACAGGTCCAAGAGGGTTTCTTTGCTTTCTAGACATGGGTCTGAGTAGTTTTCCATTTGCCCCACTGCTTTCCCCAGGAAAAAAACTACTATTTAACACTGAATTGGAGCAAACATCAATCCACAGAAAAAACAATTAACATTTATTCCAAATCAGAGGTAAAGAGCGGGGTTTTCCAGGAGAAACCAGCAGGACAAGTGGAAGTGTGGACGAGACCTCATTGCTGAATAATGTTTATTTTTAGAAGAGTGAAGGTAGAGTAGAACTGAGTGCCCCGGAGTAGATGGGATTTTTGTTCATTTTTGGTGTGTTGGGGGAAAGGCAGTGCTTTTTTCGGGGGGGGGACGCAGGAGTACACATACCCCTAAACATTTTGTGAATCTAAGTTTGGCCTCATTGTGGGGCAGTATGAGTAGGAAAATGAGAGTACCCCTAAACATTTTTTAAGAAAAAAAAGCACTGGGGAAAGGTGAGTAAATTTCCTAAGTATGTAACAAATCTGTTAGTTAAGGTACCTACTGCAAAACACCTGAGTACGTTCCATACGAAGTTGGCAAGGGAGCAGTAGTCTTTTTCATAGTTCCTCGGGAGTGACTTATGTGATGGTTTTATCCTTGCTGTGCACACATTGGCATTCCAACTACTGAATGTTGGGCAAGCAATATCCCGGTGTTTAAGGGGTCCAGCTGCTTTGTTGGGTTCTCCACTACTCCAATTAGATAGCCCCAAATACCTTTTGGCATTGTTATTGAGATCAAGAATGCTCAGTGCTACTGTGCTACAGGGAAGTTGCCACACTGCATGCTTAGGTCCACTTTAGATGTTTATATATGCGTATAAACATATTGTGATTATATATCCTTGTAATTAAGGTGTTTTATCTGAAACAGGATATGGGACCTGGTATCCCTTTAAGGACTTATCAGAAATGTGCACTTAATGTTTGGGCTTTATTAAAGCTTTTACAGAATTGCATTCAAGACTTGCTTTGAATGATGAGCAGTTTCAAAATACAGGGTATTTTGCTTCACGTGGCCTTTTTTGTTTTGTTCCTCAATTATGCCAAGCCAAGAGAAATGCCAGCCATTCATTTCTCCTCTTTCTCTTCCTGCCCTCAATTGCAACATATAATTTCATACATTTTAGGCACCTCTTTGCCTTCTTTGTGTGTGGGTTTTTGTTGTTCTTTCCATAAATTACATGGAACAATGGGAAGGATCTGCCTATCTGAACTTTACAGCTAACCTGTGTATGTTAGGAAGTACAAGGAGAATTTATGTAGGTTCTCAGTAGCATTCCACCAACTTAAATCTAAGCATTACTGGATGGCGACTTTCAGTATGACAGTTTTCATGCTCTTTGCACTACAATGAAAACTGCATTTCTTGAAGCATATTGTCTTCTCTCTATTTCTGCATTCAAGCTGGGTGGGGGTAAATGCTTTACTCTATTAGCCTTTGTTTTTGCTATTTCTATTCTTTGGACCTTCATCAGTACAGACTGGTGAGTTACCTGTCGGTTGAAAAAAGCTGGCAGATGGAAAATTGTCAGTCCAACAGAGTTGCCATCAGTCATGTTTACAGAGCAAAAGCAGGGCTTTAGCTGATTTTTCCTACCTGCAAATGTTCTCCTCTTTTGGTTATTTCTGTCAGGCAGCCATTTTGCTAGTAGGTTTATAAAGTGTTCTGGCTCTGTGTAGCAGTGGATGCCATTTTATGGATTTCAGGTGATAGTAAAAACCCAGAGCTGTGTGTCTTCCACCATTCTGCATTTGTACACATAAGTCAGTATCCTGAGAAACTCACACATGCAACCATGCAAATTCAATCAATTTGCAAAATGTACATTTTGCTCTGTGCAGAATTTGGAGGAGGTGTTTCACACAGTGTGCATGGCAATAACTTACAAAGAGCTGCTACGTGGTTGGGGCCCTGAACGCAACCTAGCACTATCAGGGTTCTCTGTTGAAAATATAGGAAATATCAAGTTAGACCATTGGTCCATCTAGCTGAGTACAGTGGTACCTTGGTTCTCAAACTTAATCTGTTCCAGAAGTCCGTTCCAAGACCAAAGCATTCCAAAACCAAGGCGCGCTTTCCCATGGAAAGTAATGCAAAACAGATTAATCTGTTCCAGACTTTTAGAAACAACCCCTAAAACAGCAATTTAACATGAATTTTACTATCTAACGAGACCATTGATCCATAAAATGAAAGCAATAATCAATGTACTGTACTATAAAATAAATAAGACAGTATTGTAGATGATAAAAATTAAAACTACTTTTTTTTTCTTATCTGCACTGCTGATAGTCATTGTTTGGATTGGGGGGGGGGGCTTTTATCCATTTCTGCAGTCACACAATCCATCAATCAGTAGCTGAAGTGGCTTCCACACAGTCACAAAAACAAATTAACCGAAAAAGCCTCAAAAACAAAAACGCAAAATAAATAGCAAAAACAAAAGCACCAAACTCAATCCATTCTGGAAGTCTGTTTGACTTCTGAAATGTTCGAAAACCAAGGTGCAGCTTCTGATTGGTGCAGGCGCCACGGAAACAATAGCCGACAACCGCATCGGATGTCCAGCTTCCAAAAAATGTTTGATAACCGGGACACTTACTTCCAGGTTTTTGGCATTTGGGAACCAAGACGTTTACGTACGAAGGCGTTTGAGAACCAAGGTACCACTGTACTGGCTACACTGACTGGCAGAGCCCCAC